TCTAGATGACCTATAAGGTCCCTTCCAACTTAAACTAAACAGGAACAGACTTGGTTTATTATTGGATAGGGCAACCTAGAAAGACCAGGGCTTCCGGCCTAGACATATTTATTCCAAAGAAGGCAATAGCAAACAATTCCTGTATTGCTGCGGAAAAAAAACTGCATAGATGTGTTCATGTAACTAGCACAAGCTTGGTCTGAAGTTCCGTTTAGCTGATTCTCAAGAATTTTCAGGTCTGTCAACACGTCTTTAGATAAAACAAAGATCTGGAGGACCTCCCAGGAGCCACACAAGATTAGGAGATTGGGGACCTTGGAATTGGAAGGGGGCAGATTCAGTCCATTCTTGTCTCAAGAGCCCGTATTGCGATCCCATGCCTGTGGGGACACTTCAGCAGTTGTAAATGCAAGGGGCCAGTTGTAAGTCACTTTTGTCAGCAGTGTCCTAACTTGGAATGATCATTAAAGGAATGTTCGTAAGTGGAGGACTGTCTTTTGTTGAGAGAGAAAAATTCGAAATAACCCTGCCTTGATTTTGTTTGGTATAGGATGAAGGGAATAAAAACTTTCTTCCAAGATTTTGTTACTCTACCCCACAATAAAAAGTCACCGCTCTACCTTGTTTCTGCTCTGGTTTTTCTCCCAAGAGCTGACAGATAATGAACAGAATGAGGAAATTCAGTGAAGGGTTCCCTGTTTGATTGGGAGCTGCTCAGAGCTGGTTGAAAGTCGGGCAACTATATAAATGTTTTAAATAAATAAATTGAGGTGGTTGGCTTAACGTACTTGTGTTGTGAGAAACAGAGAGCAGATAGCCGGGGCAAAAATGACATTTCTGGCTCTGGCTTATACTTTAGCATCTCATTGCATCAGGGCAGGGCAAGGAGAAGGTTGATGCTGGTTTTGAAACAGAAAATACAGGGCTGGTGAGAGAAAACAGCCTTTGCAAATTGTGACAACTGAAATGAGAACAATGTTGTGGGCTTGTGGGGGAGGAATTGCTAAATTAAAAGACCTCTCTCTCTCTCTCTCTCTCTCTCTTTCTTTCTCCCTATCTCTCACTTTTTTTCCTTCTGTTTCCCTCCCTCTCTGTTTCTCTCTCTCTCTCTTTTTCTCTCTCTCTTTCTCTCTCTCTCTCTCTCTCTGTGTTTCCCCCCTCTCTGTTTCTCTGTCTCTCTTTTTCTTTCTTTCTTTCTTTCTTTCTTTCTTTCTTTCTTTCTTTCTTT